CGTATGTATATATGTATGTATGTATGTATGTATGTATATACGTGTGTGCGAGCATGCCGCTTGTGGATTATCGTCGTACCGCCATTTTAACGCTTGTCATACCTGCGTTGATGTATGCTGTTGTCTTAAAACTCTTGGAAATAAAATGGATGGCGATCTCTGCCAACTTATATCTCACGAGGGCGATTAAACTATTGCAATAATTAAACTTGTAGAATAAAAGTTATGAGTCTTAATCAAAGTCGTTTAAACGTCATTTTGTTACGCGCTTTATATGTTTTTCTTTGAATGGATAAAATGTAGAGAAAAATACCACTATCGTATTTTATTATTATTGTATCTGAATATAAATGGTACATTTAACAACATAATATAATAAAATATAAAATAAGTGAGCAATGATAAAGCAATGAAAATATAAAAAACAAATATCTAAAGTACATACTATTATGCGTGTTATATATATTTTAAAAAATTAGTTACAATTGATAGTAACTTTTTTATCAATTTATGTATAATAATTTAACAATAGTTATATTCTATATTTTTATAAAAGTACAGTTATTGTAAAAGTTGTAGAATTATCGTATTTTACATTTACTTTATAAATATCATAAAATTAAAAATTAAAACAATAGTTTTTTAAAAGTTACCATGTTTTCTAAACCATATTTTTTTATAATAAAAAAGGAGAATATTTAAAAAATTTATTACCGTGGCAATATTAACTTTTATATAAATTAATAATGAATAAAAAATATTAAAAATCTTAAGTAATACAATTTTAGCAATTTTCTCTAATATTTAAGAAAGAAAAAATCGAAAAAGAATAGTTATATACATAAATTTTTGTTGAAAAGGCTGGTATACACGTGTTTGAAAATATAAAAATCTATTAATACGTATACATAATTTTAATTATATAACAGGTCATAATACAACGATCCGATCTGTTATAAAATTGAGATTGAAAATCTTACGCGGACAGAAAAGCAGCGAAATTTTATTCTCCCATAAGAATATAAAGTAATGAGGAGAATGTGGCGAAATTGAAAAATGTCGCTACATCCTTGACAAAAGTCTCTCTCAAGGAGTTCAAGCCAGCCAGAATTCGCGAGAGGGGCGTCGGATATACGTTCGATTGTGCCGGTGGAACGTCCCGGATATGAGTTACTGACCCGTGCATAAATGGACGTTATGAATCCTTCCAAGGAATATTCATCGGAATCGGAGGAATGGCGCGGAATCGCCGTGGCGCGTCGTATAGAGGAAATCGAGTATGAGCCGATGCGCGCCAACGGTGTTGGGGGGTAGGAGCTTTCCACCCCTCCTCCCCCGTAAGCAGGGAGCGGGGTGAGCTTTTCTATCTCACCGTGAGATCGAGAGGAAATCTTCGGATCGTGGAAGACGGGGAAGATTGCCACCCTTCTAGGACGGGAACCGGCAGGAGACGTAGGCGATGGGATTGCGCACCCCTCGTTGAGGCTCGTCGATGAAAATCGCGCGATTTACCCGACCGCCATGCCTCTGCGGAGGATAATGGATAACGTCTGGAATCCCCCTCCCCTCCCTCACAATATTCGCTCCTCAAGGCGTGCTCTCGGCTCGAGGAGAATAATCAGGCGTATCTGAATGCGCCGGCGCGTCGAGTTGGTCATTCGATCATTCGATCGAGCATTTTATTGACTTCCATTTCTCTCAAAGACCATCCCTGCCTTTAAATAAAAAAATTGTCAAAAGTAAAATACCTCGAATTTATTTGCAATTCTTTATTTCCTAGAGTGCGAAAAAGATATTTAACTCTTTGCACGGGTGACGAGATCAATTCGTCTTTCGCGAGAATCTTTTCTTGAATCTTTTCTTGAAATTTATTCCATCCAGCCGGAAGAGTAGTTGGATGGAATAAAGAAGTCGTCCTCTGTCTGCCGTTGTCATCTTTTTGTTCCTTCTCGCGTGTACTCGTCTTCTTAACTCGCTTATTTCCTTTTCTATTCGATCTACTCCGTTCACAAAGGGATTCACGCTTCTTCCGTTTCCCCGCTACACGCTCCCCCAAATCTTCTATTCCACGATATTCTACCTCACGGTGTATCGATCTCTTTTCATTTTTATCTCACTTTTATCTGCCATGATCAAAGAAGTTTCGAAGTTCTCTTGGGGACTTCCGCACATTTTGCTACGTCACGACATAGACAGCTAATACTTAACGTCGTTATTGGATATCCATTGATAAATAAATATAATCGATAAAGAATAGAACAAACTCAATTTAATCTCAATTGATTTTGACGAAAGTGTTTGACTAAAAGATAAATTGCTTAAATTCTAATCATCCCATCTGATGAAGTGACTTAACAAGATAATTTATTGATGTAAGTTTCGAATGATTTGTATTAATAAGTAAAATGAAAGAAAGAGGAATCTCGCGTTTCAAGAAAAAAATCGATGTGCGCAACTAAATAAGTCTCAACAATTAGACGATTTTAATAAAAAAAATCTTTTTTAAGCATGTATAATTTTAAGCGTATTCGCTAACGTTTAAAATCCACGATAAATAAAAATCCATAATAAGTAAAAAATCTAGACACGATGGAAAAATGTCCAAATTTTTATTATATGATTTATATATATATATATATATATTTTTTTTTAATTTACAAAGGCTTTAAAAAATTTTCCTATTTCTCGAAAAGTGTTAGGAGAAAGAAGATCGATATTTTTATCTCGATTCTACGAAGCGAAAAGCTATAAAAGATATTGGATGCACGCGTTACAATCTGGGATTAGAATCGGTATTATGGTGACAGTGACAAAGAAATACGTCCGCGATTACGTCGTTCCGGCATATTGTTTTGTATAGGCTACAACATCTATATATATTATGAAGTTAAATCGGTTATGCGAAGCTTTGAGCGGGGTATTATTTCATCAACACGAACTAAACGCTCGTCGTCATTGTGCTTGCATGGAAGACCATGTCAAAGGCGACGAGGGCGATCACCTTAATTAAGCGGTTACTGGATTGGAGCGATAATACCTGGGACGTATAACTATGTATCGATGCATCAATACCCTCCGATGTACCGTGATCGATGGTACAGCGAAATGGACTACATCAAAGAAAGCCTCGTAACAATACCTAATTAACGTCATCTTTGCGTACGGTGCAAACCTGAATCTCTCTATCTGTTTGCTATTTTACAGTGTGAAGCTTGTCTAATATTTACTCCAATATCCTCCAATCGGATAGAACATCCTTTATCGCTAAAAGAAATGAGCTATATAAACGAGCTAAATAAGTTTCTAAAGAGAAATGAATTTGGTAACGCAAATAGCGACATTTAAACATAATTATTTTTTCACAGTAATTAAACTTCTTTAACATGTCTCAATCTAATGAAATGTAATCTATATTACATACGCCAGTTGTAGGCTAGCTTGAAAGATAGTTCATTCTTTTGCATAATTTAATAAAAATATATTTTAAATTCTAATAATTTATTCCTTTATTTCCTAACCATCTTTTCGATTTCTGCGTTGGCATTTTCGTCGCGCTTGGTTCCTAATGACAGTCCCGGGTATCGTTCAAAGGACTCGGCCCGCTTGTAAGGATGCCGTCTGAAAGACCATGGCTGTGGCGGTCTGTTTCCCCCTCTTGCCAGCTACGCTAAGTCCCATTCAGTCGTTTCTTTCAGCGCGTCGACCCGAGCCAAGTTTCACGAAGAAACGAAACTGGAAGCGAGCAGCGACAGCAGCAACGTCGGGAAACTTTCAATTACGTTCGCGTAGCGTGTCAGTGTATCCGATACCCTTCTGGCCCTCCCTCCCCTCTCCCTCCCATCAAGCTCAAAGTCCCTTAAGCTCTCTATCCCCGAGGGATCAGGTCCATCTGATTACCGGTAATGGGGTTGTGTTTTAAGCCACCCCTCGCAGTCATGCGGGGAGGGATGGAGAGAGGAGGGGAGGGATCGCGTCTTTCTTGCTCAATAAGTCCCGGGGAGAGTGCATTGTTCTTTTTCTCGCACTTGCCGGATGAAATTCCAATCTAGTTATACGCGCGCGATACCGATCGCGAAAGCGTGACGGAGGACGATTTACGTACAGAGCGACGTTGTGCCCGATTATATCATGCACATTGAGCCACGTTGGATAACGATCGTGTTCGAGTTCTAATGTTTTCACGAGAATTTTGTTTCGTCATTTTTGCACTTATTTTCAGCGTGTATAGAACATAGAACATTTTATTTCTGCTATATCGAAAGATATGGGAGAGAGCTATAGGAAGATATTGTAGATATAGGCAGAGTTTGAAAGCAATTACTTTTGTGGGTCCGATCCTGTATCCAATTACTTCGAGCCTATAGCGCCGAATCTGCTGACGTTCGCCAAAAACTTGCATCGCGCCGTTCAACTGCCAATAAATAAACTAGTTTTCAATTAATTTCATCGCCGCTTGTAGCTCGCATGATCGCCTATTCGTACACGTCGACGCTCACATTCCATTAACGCAAGCTTCCGCGTCTCTTTTGCGTACTTTTTCCTTTTTTTCTGCTGTTTTTTCGGCTTTTCCTATCCGCTCTTTCTCGTTTTATAATATGTTTACCAATTTTGCGGTCAGACATGTGAGAAGAGTTTTTTTTGTCAATTATAGAAAAATTATTATCTCAAAAATTCTATCGTAAAATTACTCCGCAAAATATTTACCGCTTTGTTAAACGCGATAGCATTTTATAAATTAAAATTATATTAAATTTGTACATACAAAATAGCGCGGATAAAATTAATGTCTTTTTTACTCATTTAGTCCTTATTTGGCATGTTATATTAATTTACGAATATTATTATAATTTTACAAAATTTGATAAAGAACCAACTTAATAAAAGCATATAATAAATTTTCTCTCTCTCTCACACACACACACACACACACACACACACACACACACACACACACACACACACACACACACACACACACACACACACACACATTTTCTTTCTTTTCTTAAGTAAAAGTATACGTAATGCAGAAAGCAGAATATTGTTCATTACTGATGTAATAGTCAGAGATGGCAAGTTAAAACAAATCTTATTATCTTCTTATATTTCTGAACTTTTGTATAAATAAATAAAAATGGATTTTCACGAATGTAGTCGAATCAATTATTCACACACAGCATTATACTGTATGCAGGATTCGTGAATTTTCTACAATCAGTCAGTCAGATATCGTAACGTTTTGAATTTCATAGCATAACATTTTTTGATTTCCGGACAAATCTTTTCTGAAATCCGTCGTTTCATCGTTGACATCGAGCTTAAAGCCACAGATGTGTTACGCGTCTGACAAAAATGTTACGCCTTTTCAAAGCGAGTCAGGCAAACAGGATCATCTTGGATTTATTCTTGGATTTACACTCGCAAACTTCGATTTGAGAACTTAAAAGCTCTGTTGAAAGTCGCGTGTAACAGGGGTCCATCGGCCAAGAAGCGTTGACACGTGTTCACGGACTTACCGATTCCCTAATAGCCATCATATAATAATCAATTCAGTTCGATTCTTGTCGAATTTTAAAAACAATAATTAAAAACAAAATACAAACTATATGTACCTTTGTGGACTGCAGTGATATCGAGTCATGCTCTTCAGAATTCTGCGCAATATTTGTTCCAAACATCGACGAAACGTAATGCCGCACATTGCATATAGGAGAAAGTTGATGCTGAAGTTTGTGTAATACAACAGCATGAAGAACTGCTGAAGACACCAGAGTGTCTCTGGTGTATTCTTCTTTGCCAAAGCGAAGAAGAACACGCATAGGCGAATCACGTAACTGAAACAGAGCGATAACTCGACTCGCAATGCAATTTCCGTGCAAATTCGATTTCAAGAAATATTAACAGCTTTATTTCTATCATCAACTACAATTTACGTCCTGTAATTTACCTCCTTTGAGAGAAACTCGTATCTTTATATTATTTATAGTAATATTACAAGATATGACAAGATTTTTCTTTTCCTTCGTTTATTATACTTTGACAAGAAATGTTTAAATTGCATAAAAAAATGCAAATATTACGAAAATTATCTTTAATATTTTCTCATATTATTATTTTTGTATAATAAATATTAAATGATGGGTTATGTAATGGATTTTTGCTATATAAATTTATTTGAACAAATTAAATTAAGAATCTAAATATACTTTTATTATAAAACATAATTTATATCATATAAGTGTAAATTATTCAAATAATATTCCGAAAATACATTATTATCACACATACGGGAAATATGATTAAATTTTCTGAAATATATTAACGTATACGTGAAAGGAAACAACGTACAATATAATCAAATCCTATTATACAGATTCAGTTATTTATACATATATATAAATTGTAAAGGAGATTCGATTTAGCAAATATCATTGTAAAAAACACATGAAATTAATGAATTAAAATAATTCAGAACACAACATAATAAAATCAATGTAAGAAAATGTAGACTATGTAAAAAAAAAGGCACAAAGTTTCTCACCTCGGTAAATTAAGCAATATGAAGACTGTACTAATAAGCACGAGCATTTTAGTGATGCTCTCTTGATTGAATCTGGATCCGAGATTTCGACAAGATGACCTAACGTCTGTAAAATGAAAAACAGATTCTATATGTAGTTTTTACATAAAAATAAAAAGGAAGAAATATATTCGATGTAGTATGCTAAAATGCATGTTTTTAACTTTGCTAACTAAATGCAAGGTATTATTAAAAATATTACAAGATATATCTTTCTGTTTTTTATCATCATAGCATTTACAGTTTTTATTAAATCATTTTATGTTGAAATATAATAACATCTATAAATATTATTGTAAACATGCATTATTATAAACATGCAAAAGATGTTGTTTACGCCAATAGAAGAAAATTATTTACATAAAAAATCGTCTTGAATTCTGCAAAGAAAATATTAATAACGGTCATAATTTCTTATCACGAAAGTATATAATTCTTATCTCATAAGCTATAATTTACAAGCAATTTCTAAGAGGTTCGTATCTCACATCGCAATAGACTAACTTACGTATACACGGAGCTTCTATTTCGGTCATCTGACAAACGTTCCGCGGTGTCGACGGCGGAGCAGATGCAGGTTGATGTCGGGAATGGTTCTTGGACGAGTGAAATGATGATTGCTGAGAGGGTGGTCTACGCGTTCCATTCGTGCCCACAAGCGAAACCAAGTTCATATTTCCGCCGCCGCCATTATTGCTGCTATTGGCACTCTGAAAATGGATTTATAAAGTACTGTCTTCATCCTAATTCAATAAGATCTGTCGATTTGTTTTCATTTTTTTACGTAATTGATCCATTATTACGTGAATATTGAGTGTGCTTGAAAATATTAGAATATGACAAAAATGTGACTATCACATAGTTTTTAGAAACAGCGATATACGTAATAAAAATATTATCAGTTTATGAGTGTGTGTGTGTATATATATATATATATATATATATATATATGTCGGTCTATATGTACAAGATTAACGGAATATTTCCGATAAGCATATTTCTGTGAAGCATTTATTTTACTTATTGCATCACATTAATAGAAGAAATATTTTTCTATATAAAATACTTTGTATATAAACTGATATTGACAATTCTCCTGTTATAACATAAAAATAATTTATTTATAATTAATATTAGAAAACATTTTCTCTGATATTATATCAACATTTTAATAGAATTTTTTAATAGAACACTACATAATAAAGCACTGAATAAGATTTATTTTATAAACAAATATTATCGAATAGATTATATTCAAGTTTATTCAAAATTGTTTAAATTACATTTCTTACGAACGCTTATATAACATATTCATACTTTGCTTGCTTTGCGAAGTACAGTTCTAACAACAAACAACTTACATCAAGTGCAGTTTTATGTAAATAGATATAACGTTGTGAATTATACACACAGGCATAAGCACAAGCCTCACGGGCTGTGAGATGATAGTAACTGAAATAAACATGAACGAGCAATACACAAAGTACAGCGTTATGTAATCACCGATGGATGGCGACTAAATTATATGCATATATAATTTTTGCATAAAGCGCATCTAGTGTGCTTTTTAAAACCTGCTTCATAAACATACATTCTCTTACAAGTTACATTGCGATAGAAAGACTTTTTACATAGCACTTTTATTAACTTGTAATAAAATGATTTATGTTTTAATGATTTATGTTTTGATTTGATTTAATATTGTATAAAAAATAAAAATTGTATTATAATATAAAATTATTATATTTAAATTCATTTCAAACATAAATCTTTATAAAAAATTTATAAAAATTTATTTTAAAGACGACATATAACGCGTGATATGATTATATTTTTATCAATCCAGCTTTAAAGATAAAAAAATTTTTAGTTAAATTTTGATTTATATTGACTTAATATTGACTATAATATTAAATAAAAATATTAAATATGATTAATTTAGACAACATATTATTTATGTTTTAAAATATATTTTTATATATTTTAGTAAATTATCAATAATATCAGATAAATAAAATTATTTGTGAGAATACATATATTTAATATGATTACTAAAGAGAAAAAACTATTCACGCAATAAATACAAATGAAAAAATTCAACAATTTATTGATGACATTCGTATTAACCGAATTATTAAAGAGAATTCTTGGGGTGCCAATCATAGTAATACATCACATAAGTACTCAGCCATTTCTCAAATCATCATTTTCATCATTATCACATTTATTTGATTGAATGCTCTACGTCCTTAATAATCTCTCTATCTTTATCTTAATAACATTTTCTTGTCGATGATTATTATTTGTTTCTCAAAATTCTCGATTATTAATATAGAAATTGTATTCATTTGTAGTTTTAGAAATTTCATGTGAATAAATATGAAAGTCAAAATTTTATTATATTATGCCGATATCATATGATCGAAACAATCGTTGCGAAAAACGATTATATCAATTTTATCAGAATTTTAGTTGTGTTCCATTTCTACAATATTCTACAGAAATTAAAATTCACTCCGGCTTGTAATATAAATATTTCTATCTCAGTCCTTCAAACAATTAAAAAACGTATGATCTTTCTCGGTTAATTATTTTATAATCGTTTTTAGTTTAATAAGTTTAATAAATATATAATTATGTAAATAAATTTATGGATATTATTATAAATATATTTATAGATATTATATAATAGTATCTGAGTAATTAATATAATAAGCTATGGTACTTTAATTCAAAAATTTTTCTTGGGAAAGCAACCAATAAAAAAATTATCCTACACTTTTCATCTCTACACACTTTTATCTTTACACAAGAAACTGTCTCTTATTCAATTTTGTCACAATATACAGTGGGTGTCACATATATCAATAAATAAATCATATATCATCATTTAGCTATCATTTCACTTAACTTACAGAACTCATCTAACGAGGAACATCCTCTATACATCAACAAAAAAAGAATATAGTAACCCGATCATATCATTTTTCAAATTTTTTGTATTACAAGTCACTTTTTTTTAAAGTCAAACTTTATTTTGATTCTATGGCTATTAGAATATTCAAGCGTTTTTTAAAGTAACTTATTTATTTTTTATTATTTTTGTACATTTAAATAAGTAAGATTTATTTTGATTACCTGAAAGAAATTACCTGAAATAATATTTTTATAAATAGTATAAAATACATTAAAATAAAATAAAAATCAACTTCTTCGTTCAAAAAATATACAGTCAATATGCCATACTGCTAAGTATTATTTTATATAATTATATAGCATTTATACATTTATATATTTATTTTTTATAATTATATTTGATATATTAATCTCAAAAATCAAAATTTTTAAAAAATAACAATATATAGAAAAAATAAAATAATAAATCATAATTCTTAGTATAAATAACAATTGTTAATTTTATTATTTGCAAAATTATTTCTTTTTTATTTATAATATACAATCAATAAAAAAATACACTATTAAACGTAAGATAATATAAATGAAGATATAAAAAAACAAAACTAAATTTATATACTTATTATATTTATTCTGTTTATATACTCAGAATTAAAACTATATGCAAAAAAAATATAGTTATATTAAATTATCAGAACAAAATACTATTTATTCACTGCCTTATTAAAAAACGTTAGACACGATGATATTGCTATAATGAGAAGTTGATTGACTTTTAACCCAATTCACTTAAAGATTGATAAACTTTCTGTATCAATAAAAATATGTTTGCGCACAACACTATAAATGTACATCATTTCAAGGAGACAATCAAAGTGATATGACCTTACGAAGTTGTTATCTATGTACTTACAGTGTTAATTAATTTCACAGTGATACATGTAGTAACCAGTCATACATTTTCTCGAGTGGTGCGCGCATCTCGTAGCTAAACTTATAATTCGAAACTGTTCGCAAGCAAACAGTACTCTTCGAAAAACAATTAAACAAAAATTAATATAATAATATAATTAATTAATTAATTCTTATCTTCTTCTGTTGTTGACATTAATCTAACAATCAAGTGTGACAATCGGTTCATTATTCAGAAAATTGCTGACAAGAAGAGCTTTAAACTAGAAACGTTTCTTCCATCTATATCTACGAAAATTTACAATGGAGCCATTTACATTGCTTCTAACTATTATTACAGCAAGTATATGCATATGCTTGTATTACTTTGTTCTAAGCAAAATTTCTTACTTCGAACAACTGAAGATTCCCCATGAACGACCAATTCCATTGATAGGCAATATGGCTCCTTTCATTTTCCGACAAATGAGCCCTGCAGAAAACGTACAAAGATTATACAAACTTTTCTCACATGCAAAGTATTTTGGCATGTTTGATTGCATAACGCCGGTGTATGTCATTCGCGATCCAGATCTAATCAACACAATTGCTATCAAAGAGTTCGACAACTTCTGCGATCATCTGGGTTTTGTGAATGAAACTTTGGATCCAATAGCCAGTAGAAATTTATTTAACTTACAAGGAGACCACTGGCGCGAGATGCGAAAACTTCTTAGTCCTAGTTTTACATCCAGCAAAATGAAAATAATGTTTGAACTTATGTGTCAATGTGGTGAAAATTTTGCTAATTCTATAGTACAATCCGGAAAAAATGGCAAACTGTACGATATGAAAGAAATATTGAGCAGATACGCTAATGATGTAGTGGCCACGTGTGCTTTCGGCATCAACATAGATTCTTTTAAGCATCCCAATAATGAATTTTATTTACTTGGCAAGAAGGCACTGAACTTTGATGGTCGATTATCTTTTGTATTCTTCATAAACAGAAACTTTCCGACACTTTCAAAATTCCTCAAACTGAGAATGTTTGGTCCAAAAGTAGAAAATTTTTTCAAAAATATTGTTTCCGAAACAGTAAAAGTAAGGGATGAGCAAGGAATTTTCCGTCCAGACATGATTCAATTAATGATGGAAACTAGGAACAAAGATAGCGGACCTGAATTTGATATCAACGAAATGACTGCCCAGGCATTCATTTTCTTTCTCGCCGGATTCGATTCTGTGTCAACAGCCATGTGCTTCATGGTACACGAAGTTGGTGTCAATCCCAATGTTCAGAGCAAATTGAAAGAAGAGATCGATGATGTTCTTAAACAGACCGACGGTAAACCTACTTACGAGGCAATTAATCGTATGAAGTACTTGGACGCCGTGGTAAACGAAAGTCTCCGATTATATCCAATAGCATCTTTCCTTGACAGAAAATGCATCAAAAAATTTGAATTGCCACCAGCGACACCGGATAGCAAATCGCTTATATTGAAGCCAGGAGATAACATATGGTTCCCAAGTTATTCTCTACATCGCGATCCGAAATACTATCCGGAGCCGGACAAGTTTAATCCAGAAAGATTCGTTAACGGAGAAGTAGACAATTCGGTTTACATGCCGTTCGGTTTAGGACCCAGAATGTGCATAGGTAATAGATTCGCTCTAATGGAAGCAAAAGTCATGCTATTCTATTTGCTATGGCATTGTGATCTTCTGCCTGATGTTAAAACTAGAAATCCTATGGTATTAAACAAAAAAGCATTTGTCATGATGGCCGAAGGAGGTTTCTGGTTGAAGGTGCGAGCAAGAATGTCGAAGGCTCCTGTTACATAGTACTTATCGAACAGACATGGAATCGAAAAACAGTGTTAGAGAATATTCATAATCTATCTCAAATGTAAAGATATATATTTTATGTTATCTTTTCAAATTATTTCACTAGTTTAGAAAAATTGTTTTAGAAATATTACCATTCTTTTAATAAAATCAAGATAAAAATTTCTTAATATTTGAAATGTTTTATAAAGCGTAGCATATTTACAGTGCTAAATAAAGTACAGTTTTTAATATAATTTTCTTATCTTTAGTAGTATCTAAATTAGAATAATCTCTATAAATAATAATGTTGATTATTTCTATTATTAAGTATTACTTTTAAAGTCTATTATGTTTTAAATTAAATAGTATTATGATAATATCTAAACAAAAAGAATTTTAAAAGTAAACTCATATTTGTACATAATACAAATAAATTGATATAATGTATGTTCTAATATAATTATCGTTTTTTTTCTTAATGAATATTTTAAAAATATTTCAAACAACAATTATACGCAGGATTATTAAAAAAAATTATTGAAAAGGCGACAATCTATTTTAATCAATTCTAAAACATCTGTTAAATATATTTAAAAAAAAGTACAATTTT